GTGGCTAGATTAACAAATAACCAAACGCCACCCGATCTAAATAGTCCCTCAGTTTAATAGTAATGACTTTATGAATTTCTTTACCGATAAAATAGATAACATCAGAAGTACAAAAACAAATGTAGATTCTACAGCGTATAATATTTCAGCTTCGTTCATTGCACCAAAAGATAAACTGCAGTGCTTTACAACTATAGGACAGGAAGAGCTAAATAAACTTATCACTGCATCTAAACCAACAACATGCCTGTTAGATCCTGTGCCCACTAAATTACTGAAAGAGTTGTAACCTGTAGCAGAAGAACCGCTTCTCAATATTAACTCGTCATTATCTTTAGGTCACGTCCCAAAACCATTCAAGCTGGCGGTTATTAAGCCTCTTATTAAGAAACCACAACTAGATCCAAGTGAACTGGCAAATTACAGATCCATTTCAAATCTTCCGTTTATGTCTAAAATTTTAGAAAATTTTGTCTGCTCAATTGTGCTCCTTCCTGCAAAAAAATGATCTCTATGAAGAATTTCAGTCAGGTTTCAGGCCCCACCATAACACACATCGATGCTGGAGAGCCGCAGCCCTGTAGAGTTTTGCTTCAACCCTAATCAAACACACCTGAACAAGCTAATCAAGCTCTGAAGGCTTACTACAAAAGCTACAGGCAGGTGAGTTTTAATTAGGGTTGGAGCTGAACTCTGCAGGGCTGCAGCTCTCCAGGACCGGAGTTCGCCACCCCTGCTATAGATCATGACATACTCATAGATCGATTACAAAACTATACAAGTATTCAAGGGCAGGCTTTAAGATGGTTTAGATCCTACCTGTCCGATCGCTACCACTTTGTTTATTTAAATGGGGAGTCATCTCAATTATCACCAGTAAAATATGGAGTGCCACAAGGATCTGTCCTAGGTCCTCTGCTATTTTCAATATACATATTGCCCCTTGGTAATATTAATAGAAAATACGTGATTAGTTTCCATTGTTATGCTGATGATACTCAACTATATATCTCAACAAGACCAGATGAAACTTCTAAATGATCTAAACTAACAGAGTGTGTTAAAAATGTAAAAGATTGGATGACCAGTAATTTTCTCCTATTTAATTAGGATAAGACAGAGATATTACTTATTGGACCAAAAAACAGTACACA